ACTGATCAAATCTTCAGTCATAAATCAAGCACAAACAAATTCCATAAGTTTGAAATATTACCATGCGCCTTCTCAGACCACAGTGGAATAAAAATAAATATCAACACCAACAAAATTTCCCTAAAACCCATGGACACTAAATAACATGATGCTGAACAACTACTGGGTCAACACTGAAATCAAACAGAAATTAAAAGAGTTCTGGAAACAAATGAAAAAAAAGAAACATCTTATCAAAACCTCTGCGATGCCCTGAAAGTTGTTCTAAGAGAGGAATTTTTATATCTACAAGTACACATCAAGAAAATGGAAAGATCACAAGTGGAGAGCCTAACAAATCACCTAAGGGAGCTGGAAAGAGAAGGCTACCAGAACCCTAACTTTAGCAGAAGAATTCAGATCACCAAAATAAGAGCCCAAATACAGGACACAGAGGACAAAAATATCATAGAAAACATCAAAAAACAAAAAGCTGGTTCTTTGAAAGAATTAACAAGATCGATGGACCCCTAGCGAGAATGACCAAGAAAAAGAGAGAAAAAGTCCAAATAAACACAATCAGAAATACAAAAAATCAAATTGCAACTGACTCTGAAGAAATAGAAAAGATTATTAGAGGTTACTATGCATGGAAACAAACTTAATAACCTAAACGAAATGGAGAACTTTCTGACATCATACAACCTCCCCAGGTTGAAACAAGAAGACATTGAGACACTAAATAGACCAATAACAACCCAGGAAATCGACTCTGTCATAAGAAAACTACCTACCAAAAAAAAAGAAAAGAAAAGAAAAGAAAAAGGCCTGGACCGGGTGACTTTCCAGCAACATTCTACAAAACGTACAAGGAGCTGATACCAATCCTACTGAAAGTATTCCTGGCAATTGAGAAAAATGGAATTGTTCCCAAATCATTTTATGAAGCTAACATTGCACTGATACCCAAACCGGGTAAAGATCCAACAAAAAAAGAGAACTACAAGCCAATATCCCTCATGAATATACATGCAAAAATCCTCAACAAGATTCTAGCAAATTGGATCCAAAAACATATCTCAAAAATCATCCTCCATGACCAAGTAGGCTTCATCCCCAGGATGCAGGGCTGGTTCAACATCCACGAGATCATAAATGTAATTAAATACATCAACAGATGTAAAAAACAAGAACCATATGATTATATCACTAGATGCAAAAAAAGCTTTTGATAAAATCCAGCATCCTTTCTTGATAAAAACCCTCAAACACCTAGGTATAGAAGGAACATATCTCAAAATCATAAGTGTCATCTACGATAAATCCATAGCCAGCTTATTGCTAAACAGAAACTGGAAACATTTCCCCTGAAAACCGAACAAGACAAGGCTGCTGACTCTAATCCCTCCTGTTCCACCTTGTGTTGGAAATCCTAACTAGAGCAATTAGACTAGAGAAGGAGATCAGGGGTATCCAAAGAGGAAAAGAGGAAGTCAAGTTATTGCTCTTGCTAATGATATGATCCTATACCTTGAAAATCCTAGAGAATCTGTCAAAAACCTGCTTGTACTGATAAAGGACTTTGGCAAAGTCTTGGGGTACAAAATAGATGTGCATTCCTATACACCAACAACGAGCAGGCGGAGAACCAAATAGAAAGCACAGTCCCATTCACAATAGCCACAAAAAAAAAGAAATACCTCGGCATCTTCCTAACCAGAGAAGTAAAAGACCTTTAAAATGAGAACTAGAAAATACTGCTCAAAGAAATCCAAGAAGACACAAGCAAATGGAAAAATATTTCATGCTCATGGATAGAAAGAATCAACATTGTTAAAATGTGCATCCTACAAAAGGCAATCTACAGATTCAACGCAATACCCACTAAATTACCAGCATCATTCTTCTCAGACCAGGAAATGACAATACAGAAATTCATATGGAAACATAAATGCCCACGAATAGCCAAAACAATCCTTAGCAAAAGAAACGAGGCAGAAGGTATCACACTTCCAGACTTCAAACTTTACTATAAGGCTACAATAATCAAAACAGCCTGGTATCGGTACAAGAACAGGCACATGAACCAATGGAACAAAATAAAGATTCTGGAAGCAAAGCCTCAAATTTCTCAACCAACTCATCTTTGACAAAGCCTCCAATAACAACCACTGGGGAGAGGAGAACATGTTCAGTAAATGGTGCTGGGAAAACTGGCTGACTACATGCAGAAGATTGAAACAGGACTCCTACCTACCACCATACACAAAAATAAGCTCTAAATGGATCAAAGACCTAAATGTAAAACCTCAAACTATAAGAACCTTAGAAAACACAGGAGAAACCTTTATGGAAATTGGAATTGACAACCAATTCCTATTCAGAACCCTAAAGGCCAATATCTTAAGAAGTAAGATAGACAAGTGAGACCTCATCAAACTAACAAGCTTCTGCAAAGCAAAAGAAACCATCAAGAGAGCAGGGAGACAGCACACAGAATGGGAAAAAATATTTGCCAACTGATGTCTGACAGAGGCCTAATATCTAGGATCTACAAGGAACTCAAAGGTGCCAAAAGGAAAAAGACAAACAGCCCAATTAAAAAGTGGGCAAGGCTGGGCTCGGTGGCTCAGCCTATAATCCCAGCGCTTTGGGAAACCAGGTGAGTGGATTGCCTGAGCCCGCGGGTTCGAGACCCGCCCGGGCAACTTGGTTAGACCTCATCTCTACAATATATAAAAACTAGCCGGGTGTGGTAGTGCGTGCTTGTAGTTCCGGCTACTTGGAAGGCTGAGGCGGAAGCCCAGCAGGTCGAGGCTGCAGTGGCCAGGAGCAGCCACTGCACTCCAGTCTGGGCGACAGAGTGAGACTCCAACTCAAAAAAAAAAAAAGAAAAAAGAAAAAGTGGGCAAAAGACATGAATAGACAGTTTTCAGAAGAAGATATATGGGCAGCCATAAGGCACATGAAAAAGTGCTCAGCCTCACTCATCATCAGAGAAATGCAAATCAAAACCACACTGAGATACCACCTAACCCCAGTAAGAATGGCCATCATTAATAAAACAAACAACAACAGATGCTGGCGGAATGCAAACTAGCGCAACCTCTCTGGAAGACAGTGTGGTGATTTCTGAAAGAACTAGAAATTGACTTTCCATATGACCCAGCAATCCTCCTATTGGCAATATAACCAGAGGAGCTCGGGTCATTCTACCAAAAAGATCCTGCACATGTATGTTTGTTGCAGCTCTATTCACAATAGCAAAAACATGGAACCAACCATGCTGCCCATCAAAGCTGGACAGGATTAAAAAAAAATGTGGCACATATACACAATGGAATATTATGCAGCCATAAAGAAGGACAAACATATGGACTTCGTAGCAACTTGGATTAATTTAGTCTATCATACTCAGTGATCTATCACAGAAACAAACAATAGGGTACCATATGTTGTCACTCATAAGTGGACCTTGAACAACTATCATAATACTATAAGAAAGGGATTGGCAGTAGTGGGAAACTGCCAGAGGAGGCAGTGGTGGGATTGACAGTTGAGGGAAACTGCCAGGGGAGGGAGGGGCACACCTCATCAACAGGGGTACCTGCATAATGAACATTTCTATACCTAAACCTGAATTACACTCCACATCTTTAAAATAAAGAAAAGAAAAAGTAAGTAAATTAGTGAGAAAAAAAATTTGTGTGCCTTTCTCTTGTTAATCTGCCTTTTGTTACAGGGGTCTTCACCATGAACCCTAGCAATGACTCAGAAAAAGATATTTCTTTTCTCCTACAGAAATAAATGTTTTGCAAATTCATCTTATTTTATCTTTTAACATCAATGCAGAAAAAGGCGCTAAGAAAATAATTCAGTAGAAAAAAAACACTTCATTTAACTACTTATTACAATATGTCTTAAAACAGCAGCGACTGGAAGAGACTAAATGCCCAACTAGAAAGAAATAAGGAAATAGTTAAGGAAATGTAAACACATCAAGTGAAACATCACCAAGAACTACAAAATTAAAGTGACACAAACCACGTCCTACTCTGTACAACTGTTTTATAGCTTGCGGGGTGAGTTGAACAGACTCTGGCTACCAGTGAAAAGTGCCCGCTCATTCAGTCACATCTCCTGGAGTGGCTCCTTGCTGGTGCTGCCAGAATCCTTGGGTTCCTCATTTCTCCCCTGTGCTTTTGCCGCAGTGCATTCCTTGCCTGAGAGGTGCTTCTGTCTGCTCTGAGAAACCACCTGGGTCACTCTCCAGACCCAGCACCCCTGCCCGCCCACAGAGTTGTCTGTTACCCAGGAGTGAAACTGACTTGGATTCCCTAACCCTGATGGACCTGTTCTTGACTATCCTGCTTGCCTCGTTTTCTCAGGCAGACTGCAAATTCCACAGAATTATTTATGGCCCATGCCATGGTCACAATTATATTATTTTGAATTAATCAATGAGTATAAACTCTTGAGAGCAGGGGCCATTTCTTTTTTCTTTTTCTTTTTTTTTGAGTTGGAGTCTCTCTCCATCACCCAGGCTGGAGTGCAGTGGCACACTCACAGCCACCCTACCATCAACCTGCTGGGCTCCGGCAATCCTTCTGTTTCAGCCTTCCAAGTAGCTGGAACTACAGGTGCGCGCTACTGCACCTGGCTAACTTTTTATTTACTGTAGAGATGAGGTCTCGCCAAGCTGCCCGGGTGGGTCTCGAACCCGTGGGCTCAGACAATCCACTCGCCTAGGCCTCCCAAAATGCTGGGATGACAGGCTGAGCCACCAAGCCCAACTGGCCATTTCTTATCATTGTCTCTACAAAAATCTCCATAATGCTGGTCAAACAGTAGATTGTCAATAACTCTTCACTAAACAAATGGATACATTTATGTGATCACACATGACAGCTGGCTGCAATACCAAGGTAGGTCTTCCTCTTTCATCCCTTTTCCACTTTCTGCTTCTATGAAACATCAGAGTTCTTTTTCTGAAAGGAGTATCATCCACAGGGGGAGCTTACCCAGGTCAAACTGGCCAGAAACGTAGCCGCATGTCTGCCGGACTTCTTCACTGTCCCAGCCCAGGGGATAGAGAGCACAGCCAGCACCGATCAACAAGCCTGCACAAAGATAAAACAAGAAGGCTTTACCAGGGCATCTCTGCATCCCCAGATAAAGGTGGGGAGATCAATATTTAGTAGTGTAACAAAACCACAGTGTCTGCTTTGGGGAAAGCACCTCTAGGACTCCCTTGGCAATCTAACTTCAATTTGACTCCAGAACAATTCAAGTCTGCTTAAAGAAACAAGCAACAACAACAACAAAAACTTGACACCTCAGTTTGGTTCCAAGGGTTGCCTTTTAAAGCACTAAAAGCCTTGCTAATCCTGTTTAGGAAATACATTCCAGACGTTTTTAAATCACTCTTGTAAAAATCCGACCAATTCGTCCATTAATCCAGGCAAACAAGTAATTCAAGCGTGAGCAAAAGTTCCTCATCGCTTATGTTTCATTATTCATTCGATTTTTTTGTTTCCAACGAATCAAAATAGAATGTTTCAGGGTTGTCAAATTTTACCAGGAGAGAAAGAACACAAAGTTTCGCCAACCCCCGGGGCACACAGATTGAACCCGTGAGCGGCACTACCTGTCATGTGCTGCGTGGAGACTTGACATGCCTCAGACATACTCCACGACATGGACCCTTGTCATCTCAGTCCTCCTGCAGCGAAAACCAAAAGGCTGGATGATTAACGGAAGAAGGGCAGCTCTATTTTAAGATAAATGAAGTTGTCATGGAGGCCACTCTGAGCTGACAGCTTTCCATCGGCCAGTCTTTGGTTTTGCATCAAAGCCTGATATGGTTTCACAGGAAGCTGAATGGAATTTAAGCACTCACCACTGGAATCTGTGGGCTAATCTGAAAGTAAGACCTTGCGGCATCCATCAAAGAGTGTTGTCACTTGTGAGTACCACAAATGTGCTAAGCCAGTAGAACCCATGGATAAGGAGTCTGCAGTCTGATGGATGAGACAGTGGGTTATCAGGTGCTAAATGAGGGGGCCTTCCTTAATAAGAAAATCCATCAATATGGAAATGTGTGGCAGGACCCCAAATGTGTCTGAAAGAGGAGACCTTCACTGTTTTCACACTCAGTCCCTTCCTGGACCCTTTGTGTCCTTCCTCTCCCAACCCCAGTCCTTCCCAGTGTGTGACTCTGAGTAGTTGCAGCCCATGCAAATACATGTTTTCTCACAGGCATCTGACTTGGAGGTTTCTGTCCCTACCCCAACTGCTCTGCTGAGCTGTAAGGAGAGACACCCCCAAGTCCTGACACATTTCCTGCCCTGGCACTGCTCTGCACCCCAATCTGGCACTGCACCCCTAGTCTGCACCTCGGGCTACAGAAAAAGGACCATGCAAAGCAGAAGAACTCTGAGGTGAGAAAGTGCTAGAAAGAATCATTGACCCCTCTGCACTAGTCCCAGGAAATCTATATGCAACTGAATCAATGTGAATTGTAGTTGAAGAGTAATCCAGAAAGCCGTAAGATGAGACTTTGCTGAAGAGGCAAATGCCCTGGTGGCCGGTTTCCTTAAGTTTTCCCCTTAGAAAATTCTAAGGATTCTTAGAGCAATTAGTTTTTTTTTTTTTTTTGAGTTGAAGTCTCACTCTGTCACCCAGACTGGAGTGCAGTGGCTGCTCCCGACCACCACAGCCTCGACCTGCTGGGCTCTGGCGATCCTTCTGCCTCAGCCTTCCGAGTAGCCGGAATTACAGGCGTGCGATACCACGCCCGGCTGGTTTTTTGATTTATTGTAGAGATGAGGTCTCGCCAAGTTGCCCAGGGGGGTCTCGAACCTGCGGGCTCAGGCAATCCACTCACCTCAGCCTCCCAAGGCGCGGGATTACAGGCTGAGCCACTGAGCCCGGCAACAATTAGTTTTATTCGCGGTCAGGCACAGATATAATTAGTGAGGATACCACACTTTGTGTAAGCTGAAATCCATGGCTGTTTAATAAACAACGTGGTATCATTTCTGTGATACTCAGTTCTTAGGTTAACAGGTCACACTTCTTTTTGAGATCCTGTGAGCAATTTGTTTTTTCAGTTGAGTCTCACTCTGTTGCCCCAGCTGGAGTGCAGGGGCATGCTCATGGCCACTGCAGCTTTGAGCTGCTGGGCTCAGGCAATCCTTCCACTTCAGCCTTCCAAGTAGCTGGAATCACAGGCATGCACCACCATACCCAGCTAATTTTTAAATTTATTGTAGAGACAAGGTCTCCCCAAGTTGCCCAGGCTGGTCTCAAACCCCTGGACTCAGGCAATCCTCTCACCTCTGCCTCCTAAAATGTTGGGATTACAGGCATGAGCCATCGCCCCTGGCCCTGTGAATAACTTGATAAGGTTGACAAATGCAGAAAGGCAGATGGCCTGAAAGTGTTCTCGTGTAAGAAAAATGAAAAGTTATAACATTTTCTATCAGTAGTTTTTTATTTATCTGATAGGCAAGCACACGAATAATTGTCTTATTTGCCAATATCCTTTGCATTATGACTGAAAAATATGTGTCATGAAAACACCCACTTCGGTCCAGTATTCTGCTGGCCACTTTGGGACACTGAATGGAAAGTAGCTTATAAACCCTATATATGGAGCAAACAGGTCAGGGGCTCTCCTGGGGGCAACATACCTGGCAGCCAGTATCCTTTTGAGAAATACTGGGCTGTCTTTGTAACATTTTGCAATGCACAGTCAACCGTCTATGTAAGAAACGATTTTATACACAGGAAATTTATGGTATACAAATGATTTTTTTAAAAAAATCATGCACATATGCTCACATTTTAAAAAAACTGCTTGGTGGAAGACGACGAGCTTATCTGAATTTTTAGATTAATATTTATGTCGACTATGTTTGCTTTGCCATCTGCTAAAGTTTGTTAATAGGAAAGAGGCTGCATACTCCAGAGATCTGAGAAACACCTCTGGGAGGAACATCTATGCTGCAAACCGATCAGGCTAATTGACTGTTACAACTATTAGGATGTGGAGGTGAACATTTCCGTGGCCTTCCACTACCTTGTTATTTTTGTATGTTATGGTGAAATTCAATCTTAGATTGAATTTGGACAATTATGCAACAGATGTTCATGAGCAAACTGGCACCAAAAACAGGCAGACAGCTGATTCCATAAGCTCAGTGAAATGCAAGTACCCCCAACAGTGCCACTGAATAGTCATCCTAAGTAAGGACCTCCCATGAAATTTTCCACACACAATAAACAAATATTGGATGGCAGATAAGGAAACTCCAGGGCAGATCAGGCAACCACTCCCATTAAATGGAAGGGGAGAGGAGGCACAAGACCAGAGAGTGTTCTAAACTGCACAGCCTGGTGCATTAGCCAAGAGCTGCACGTAGCTCTTTACTTATATACTTAAGTTAATTAAAAAAGCAATAAAAAACCGGGTTCGGTGGCTCAGCCTGTAATCCTGCACCTCTGGGAGGCTGAGGTGAGTGGAATGCCTGAGCCCGCGGGCTCGAGACCTGCCTGGGCAACTTGGCAAGACCTCATCTCCACAATAAATCAAAAATTAACCGGGCATGGTAGCGCACACCTGTAGTTCCAGCTACTTGGAAGGCTGAGGCGGAAGGATCACCGGAGCCCAGCAGGTCGAGGCTGCAGTGGCCGGGAGCGGCAAGTGCACTCCAGTCTGGGTGACAGAGTGAGACTCCAACTCAAAAAAAATAAATAAAATAAAATAATAACTAAATGCAAGTTAATTAAAATTAAATAAAACTCCAAAATTCAATTCCTCGTTTGCACAAGCCTCAATTCAAGTACTCAATAGCCCCATGGTACCAGCGGCTGCCATCTTGGATGTGCAAATATAGATTATTTTTGCAATTGCAGAGAGGTCTACTGGAGACAGTTGTGTTAGGTCTACGAAATGCTTTTATTTTACATTGTTTCCTTTGGGGTTGCCGGTCCATGTGAGGATTTGCTACAGGAGAAAATTTTGTGTAGGTGAGGTCTGGGCTTCTAGTGATCCCTCTCTCCCCCTGCTAGCAGACACAGTAGCCATTGGGTGGTGGTGTGCCCCTTATCCCCCCTCCCTGCCTCACCCCATGAGCACTGTCCAGAGCCAGCTGCTCCCCAAGACATACCTTTTAAAAATGCTGGATCATCAGATTCTCCTGCCTCATGCTTGAGGGTGCTTGTTAACAATCAAAATGGCCATTGCCTCACTAGATTCTGGTGTGACCATGCGCTCTTTGAGCTGTGGCCATCGCCATTCTTCCTGGCTTTCGCCCCCTCCCCTACCTTGGGGAGGTGAATCTCCTCTTTTTCTCTCTCTCTTTCTAATTTAGTTTTTAAATAAACTATACTTTCTAATCTAAAAAATAAAACAATCAAAGCAATCCTTGAGCACTGAAATTCTCCCATTTTGGTAGAGCTAGAGACCGGGAAAGTATATTCCACAAACTCTCCTGCTAGTGGGAGTTCTGGGTCATAGAATGTGGAAGATGAAAGGGGTGGATGGTTCCTCCCCTTGGCAGTGCAGCCTGGGGTGGAGGTGTGGGGGCAGGGGCAGGCCCTTCTGCATGCAGGAGGTGGGGAATTTGGGAAGCAGCTTCCAGAAAGGCGGACCATCAACTGTCACCTCTTGTGATCCCAGCCCCTCCTGACTTTCTGAATTCTTCAAAGCAGTTTCTCTAGCCTTCGCTTTTTCAGATCTTCTGATCCATCTGGACGATTCCAAATCCCTGGGCTACACCCCTTCCTGCTTGAAATACCGAAGTGGCTTCTTTTACTGGCCAAACTGCACATGCCCCACTCATACAAGGGCATAGGGGACGACACAGATCTTTCTCTCCCACTGTAGTTCTTGTATATCACCCATTTTCTCAATTTGAAATGACCTATAATACAATTTTTGCTAATTACTAAACAAAACTAGGTAGCTTTTCTTTTTTTTTTTTTTTTGAGTTGGAGTCTCACTCTGTCGCCCAGACTGGAGTGCAGTGGCCGCTCCTGGCCACCACAGCCTCGACCTGCTGGGCTCCAGCGATCCTTCCACCTCAGCCTTCCAAGTAGCTGGAATTACAGGCAT